CAGTTTTTTGCTTTCCAATGACATGAACATTATTCTACATTTTACATTTTCTAACCTGTTTTACCGATTTTTATTTTCCTTTTATGGCTTGAACTGCAACAGTAGAGTCATTCTCACCCTATACTGTGTCTGGCAGAAAAGAAATCTCGCATTCATTTTGCACCGAATTCACCAACGACTGTGTGTTTGAGGTTGGCAGTTTCAGTTTGCGGCTAGCAGATGGCCTTTCTGACTGTTTGGTGTTGTCGTTTCCCTGTGTTCATTGTTATTCCCAATGAAGGGCTAACTTTGTCTTTTAACAGCTTTGAAAGGATGCTTTCAAGGTAGATACCAAACACTGGAAGCATAAGCGCAGAGGTCTTACAGCGGCCCCACCAATTCTCCCATAGAGAGTTGCCAAATAATAAATTCATAGAGAATAGAAAATACACTTCCCTATACCAGAAGTTTTTTTCTTTAAATAAAACAATGGAATATCCTGACATATTCCTATTTTGGACGTTGTTTTTCAAATATGCGCCACGGTACACGGGCAGCAAGTGAGCCAAATTAAATTTTAGTGCGGGAGTTTGACTCCTACCTGATATTCTTCATCTACACATACAGCAGATTCCCTAGACCATGAAATATCGACCAAAATTATTAAATGTGTTTTCGATTCGAACATATTAATTAAGTATAGTTGCGTTAATGATTATCGTACAGCCTTATCTCAACATATTTCAATCACTTCATGATGCCGGCGTGCTGCTGTCAAAGAATTGCTAACTAAGTAGTGTACATTTTTATCGTTTATATTTGCTGCTCGTATAAATTCAAATGCGTTTTATAGAAAATATAAACAAATATGTTCTTCTTGTTTTGCAGAAAATTACGACTTTTTGAAATTTTATACTTGAAGAAAAGGTTTCGGTTTTAAAAATCTTTCTAAACCGCTGAATAGTTTAAACTCTACCGGCCACTCCAAACTTCATGCCATATTTATTCCAACTAAGGAAAAATAAATGTTTTCCTATAGGCGCATAGTTCTCAAACCATATGCAATGGATATTGACCAAGTTGTATAATTTATTAGCAACATTAAGAAGCAGATATATGCGTTGCTTTGTTAGTGCACATTTCACGGTCGTAAAATGATCATAATTAGGAACGATTTTTTTAAACCGAAAGATACCATGTCTTTAATTATGAAATCTATAGAAGTCAACATTTTATTCTACACGAGTATAATAAATTATACAGTAGTCGATAAAGACCATGCAATTTTCATGATGAAATTTGACTTGGTACTTTAGCCTATATTTAGTGACACTATTTTGATTCATTTAGATGACTGAAATCTGCGAAAGCCTTTTAGTTAGGAAAATCATTTTAGTTAGGTTTATCAAGAGAAATGTCCATTAATTTTGTGGAAATCGGGAGTAGTCTCATATCGAAGGGATTTCCTATGCTATTGCAAAAGAGAGAACAAGGCTGCACGTTAATGTTGATTATACTATGCAGGAAATCCAAAATAAGTAAAAAAGGTATAGAAGATATTCCTTTCAGAACTGGAAAATTTTGTCCAAAATTTCTCATATTCAAGTGAAGCCAAGTTAAAGGAATCGCATTTATTTGCAGTAACATTTGAGATTTGTATTTTAAAAATTATCTAAAGCCATCGTGTGAAGTTTTTTGCACAAAATGCACTAACAGAAAGAAAGAAAGTCAGAAATTTTGTTTTAACGCACAAATGTCCTTGCGCATCTGCAAAATGTCGAATATGTTTAACGCAAATTTAAGATAAAGCAGGCCTCATTGAATGTAAGCCATGTAGAAATATAGTTTTTTATACTTTACGTTCTCCTTTGGCGTCATTAAGAAACGGAACAGACAAAAGAATAATAAGTATTTCAAAAAATGGAAATGAATATGGCCGGTTTGTTTTGAATTCGTAAGCTTACAACCGATTGTAGAATTAATCCACTTATGCGGGAAACAATCCATTATATAGAAAAAAGAAATTTCTTTCATCTCCAGTCAAATTAAAGCGCTTATCTTCAGGTAACTTAAAGAAATTGTCAAAATTCTATAATTTCATTGTTACATTATCTTGGAAAATGTAGAATATACACAGAAGTTCGTCAGCCGGATATCTAATCAAAGCACTTACTAAGAGGTAACCTTTTATAGATAGTTTTTAATTAAACTAAAGAATAGTAGTTTCAGAACTCGGACATGATTCAATCTCGACAATGCGGTTTGACGTTTTGAGGCATTTCTTAATATCAGCAACGTGGCCATGTTCATTAAAACTGATACCGGAAAACACTTTCTTTTGGTAAATGCTCTTTATGTATATCTTATTTTTAAGGTTTGGTGTAAACGTCGAACAGATGCGCAATTTATTAATTTATCAATGAAGACACTAAAAACGAAGAAACTGATGACACACCTTTTTCCACGTCATTCAATAAGTACTTATCCACTAACTAATGAAAAGTTCTTTCTATATAAAGAAAGTGGTTGCTTCAAGTTTTCAACTTAACGAATTTTATCTAAATTTATTGTTCTAATTTATAGCGCCTTTTTACGTCTCAAGAACCTCGGGATTATCGAGAAAATTATATTTTTGTTTACAGACACTTAGTACTGCCTATGGTTCTCTTAAGTACTTAAACTGCCTAATTATTATTATTTCTAAGTTTTCCTAAATGCATTAACAATGGTATTCGAGTAATGATAAAACTTGTACAAAGTTATGAAAGTTGCGTGGCCTTTGGCGACTACTGTACTTTTGTTCATATATTCTATTGAATACATTTACATTTTTAAAGGCAGTGTGTACACAAAATTTAGTAATTTTAAGTATTTCATCGTCAAGCTTGACAGAAGTATGTCGTCTTTTCTTCGATTGTGCAACAAACTTAAAGTCACCGGATGTGCGTTAAAAGACCCAACTGATAAGGTTGGCTTTTCAGGCACTAGACGCCTATTACCCTTTTTCGAGCGAGAGGGTTGCCAAAAGCAGGTGAAACGGCTAAGGACGCCTTTCGATCAGGCTCAGGTAGAGACAGCACAAGCAATCCGTTCTCTCTCAGGTACCATGACGCATTATCTGGAGGTTTCACTAAAGCTACCAATTACCTTTTGACTCCTAGTTCTTGCGGGTTATGCAACATCAGTTCTGACCTGGGGCCGACCTTGAACGGGCCAATTGCAGCGCAAGGGGCTGTTTTTCGTCTGCCGTCGCCGGCACAAATATACATATATATATACGTGCGAGTTCGATACACACAACCAGAGCAACTTCCTTGCATTGAAGCAGACAAACTTGACCATGCGATTCTTTGCAGTGACAACTCTTCTGTTGGCAGTCATTGCCTTGGCTACTGCCAAGAAGACAGTTATCAAGGGATCAGCATCCTTCCTCGCCAGTGTACCCGAGTTGTGTATCACATACCTCGAAAAACTCATCAAATGGGAGATTATTGTGACAAGCAAAAAGGAAATTGATTGGATCATCAGCTGGACCAATACCACCACCTGCCAAGTATGTCTGAGCAATGACCTTACGGCGAAGGACCTCATGCCCTGCATGGAATGCTTGGAGCCCCATGAACATCATATCATCAAACTGCCTGGCTGCAAGGAATGCTTCAAAGACAAGGGAGAAAAGCGTTGCTCCGTCTGTCTTGCTGAGGTGGTCTACGTCACGGAATCGGTGATCTGCGCGGTGGAGGCAAAGGTCAAGAAGACCATGACTCTTCTACATTTGGGCATGTAAACAGCTCACCCTCCGTGATGTGACCATTATCAAAACAAAAGATCCTGCCATTCACATAGAATGACCAACATGCTTACATACACATATAGTCTATTTCCCAAATAAAACACTGACACCCATTGAACTTTGAGTTTTTTATGGTTGATAGCTGCGCCCATACCGAATAGAGGTAAAAGTTGCGTTTTTCGCTCGCTTTAGGTACTCATGGCCGTCTAATTTTGTCCTACCGGACCCTTTATATTAAGGTAGTTTATTATTTACTTAACTTTAGTTTGATTCACTTTGCGGTTGAGTTAGTTGTGTTTAGTTTACAGTAGTTTCTTTAAGCATATTTATCTAAAATTGGTGGTATCTAAGTAAGCTTAAAAAATAAAACAAAACTAATAAACTAAATAAGAAAAAACTAAACTAAACTAGAATTAATAAAACGAAATCTCAAATGCGTCCACCTATCGTTTCCTTAATAAAAATGAAACTATTACAAACTACATGACTGGGGGGGGGGCTAGGGTTATCTACAGTGGGCGACCAAATAAACGTTTTCTTAAGTCGACAACATGTTCTTCGAGTAACTTTGAAGGAATGATTTTTGGGTTTTAATTACGTGAGGTGGTGAAATGTAAACATGTTCATTGCAACAAGACTAAATACCTGTTTGTTGGCTTGTAATGGCAAAAGGTGACTATATTTCTGCGCTCTTCTCGGCTACTGTAACTGCATTCTTTCGTAGCTGGACTGAAAAAGGTAAAACATAAATAACGTTCATGTGGATATGAGGTGATCCACTGGTCATCGGGTGAGGCCAGCCTCATGAGTAGTGCTCACTTATCCCACCAACATCGGTTGAGCTTTTTTATTCTTTGAAATTAAAGAAGTCTTGATTTTACGGGTTCTGTGTGTAGCTAGAATTCTGCATTATTAGTAAGAAAGTCACAAGATTTTTGAGGAGAACGCAGCTTGGAAACATAAAATGACAGAAGGAAAAATGGCGTAAAACGGTAACACCGAGATAAATCAATTGACCAAAATGTAAAACGTTTGTGGCCTCGATGGGATTCGAAATTACATCAGCAGAGAAGGCTTTAGTACAGCCAACGCTCTACCAATTAAACTACGCTGGCAGGCCGAAAACTTTGAATTTAATCACAATTGGGTCGATTTGCCCGCCCAGCCTATCGCAAATATGGAATCCACCAAAACGAATGAAGTAAGCTGAACGCCCAGGCAGGATTCCTTAAGCGTAGTAGTCACTCTGGTGGATTCTAGATGATTGCTTACTGATGTCAGCTCACTGTTTCCCAACTGGTGGATTCCATACCCAACTGACTAGCTTAAAATGGCCTATCACTTGTTAAACGCATATAAAGATGTGTTTGAGCGATCTAACATGGAACACACAACACAGTAACAGTTTGATAAATATGCCACGATTTATTCGTCCACAAGTTTCCGCATGTGGTCACAAGACTCCGTATCAGGAAGACTAGGGAGGTCAATGACTGCTTCTGGTACCTTCTCGATGGGCACCGCTTTCTAAGGCTGAGTAAGAGGTCGACCTCCGTTGCATAATAAACAAATGAGTACATTTTTGTATAAATTGGAAGGCATGCATTTAAAAGAAATGAAATCTAGAGGAAAGACGTTCTTTGAAAAAAAACGAAACGATATTTAGTAAAATATCGACACTAAGTCCCCAGGCCGTCGTCAGACTTAAGAAGATGTGCAACGAACGATCGTGCTAAGTTTGTTATGGAAGCGCCATCTAGGCACGTCAAATATTTTTAAAAAATGTTGGAAGGAAAGACGTTCTTTGGATAAAAAAGGTTACTTTATTCAATAAATTGTTGCCCAGGCCGTAGTCAGACTTAAAAAAATGTGCACACATGGTCACAGTCCGTTGTTTAGTATCACACATTCAAGTTCGACAAGGCCGAACATCTTGCAAGAGTCGCAACGATTGTGAGATGCGAGGCACTCGGTTCCGGGTTAACAGACTGTCTGTCTATTGACAAGTGCAATGGCCACTACACACTTTGGCCCAAATTATTAGCCACTCGGGGAGCGTGTAGGCGGACAATGTTTCCAAATGGAGTATTTTGATTTTTCATAATGAGACATAAAAATCGCACGGATGAGGTTGAAACTCAGCTGACTGATTGTCTGAAAAGACTTAAAAAGAACGGTGTCATAATCGAATATGACTCAGAGCGTCTTCGTCCCGTTTTCACGCACATACCTTGACTATACGGGCTGCCTTAGATTCACAAAGATGGCGTGCCCGTTCGTCCCATCATATATATGCGAAACTCGCCATACCATGCGATAGAAAAATGTCTAACAGACAAGCTGAAACCCACATAGAGTCAAATAGCACCTCACAGCCTCCGAGACACCTTTCGATTTCGTGAATGGCGTGAAAGACCTTGACCTGAAAGGGATGATGATGTTCTCACTGGATGTCTCGTCCCTGTTCACGAACGTGCCGGTCACAGAAACAGTAGACTACATCTGTTAATTCCTTACCTTTAATCAGCAGGGAATACGAATGCCGGTAACTGCACTGAAGGAATTATTGCTAAAATGCATCTTGAATGTACAATTCCTATTTGAAAATAATCTGTACAGGCAATTGGACGGAGTAGCTATGGGCTCGCCCCTGGGCCCGCTTCTAGCATATATATTCATCGGCAAACTAGAAGCTACGCAACTCAGCCACCAGATCAATAGTCTAACGCACTATAAACGGTACGTAGACGACATATTCGCAGTTGCATCAGATAAAACCAACCTATCAACGCTAATGGATACAGTAAATCGGGCGCACCCGTCGATGAAATTTACACTGGAAGAAGAACAATCTGGATTGCTTCCATTCCTTGATGTACTATTGAGTAAAAGAGCTGATGGGAGCATTCAACGTAGGGTATACCGCAAGAAGACGTGGTCCGGGCAATACATCAATTTTCCTAGTTTTGTACCATTAAACTTCAAACGGAATTTAGTACGGTGTTTGACGCAAAGGGCAAGGAGGATTTGCTCGACTGATAGCATTGAAGAGGAGCGTAAGATTGTTGAATAAGTTTTTCGATAAAATGGACATCCTAGTCGATTTATCGCTAAAAACATGACTGAAAGGCCGCCAAAGCCCTC